CCAGCTAATTTTTTGTATTTTTAGTAGAGACGGGGTTTCACCATGTTTACCAGGATGGTCTTGATCTCTTGACCTTGTGATCCACCTGCCTCAGCCTCCCAAAGTGCTGGGATTACAGGCTTGAGCCACTGCGCCCGGCAAATAGAACGTCTTAGCACTGCTCTGTGGTGCCAGTGAAGGGTATAAGCGTCCAGTGCCCAGCTGGCCATTTTCTGTCCCAGCAGAGGCACTTGCTTTTCCTTGTCCTCTTGCTTACTGGGGAACTCCTTCCATCCCTGGTTCCTCCCCCAGCTACTAAAGGTCCCTCCTCTGAGTCCCCACACCTCACCAAACCCTCAGCACCCTTTGATGTTTTCCTTGGTGCCTCCTCAGGATGCTGTGAGCTCCTTGGGGGCAGGTGCTCCCTGTGTATCTCTCTCTCTGGACCTGGACCCAAGGCCTGATAGGTGAGCGCCCAGGACTCCATGTTGACTAGAGGAAGGAACAACATGTGGTCAGTGTGAGCAGAAGGGCCTGGTAGTCCAGGAGGAGGAAGAAGCCACTTCTTTAAAATGTATTACTTTTTGTTTGTTTGAGATGGAGTCTCACTCTGTCACCCAGGCTGGAGTTCAATGGCATGATCTCAGCTCACTGCAACCTCTGCCTCCCAGATTCAAGCAATTCTCCCACCTCAGCCTCTTGAGTAGCTGGGACTACAGGCATGTGCCCCCACACCCTGGGTAATTTTTGTATTTTTAGTAGAGACAGGGTTTCACTATGTTGGCCAGGCTGGTCTTGAACTCCTGACCTTGTGATCAGCCCGCCTCAGCTTCCCAAAGTGCTGGGATTACAGGTGTCAGCCATCACACCCAGCCTACTTATTTTTGTAGATATAGTGGTCTTGCTATGTTGCCCAGGCTGGTCTTGTATTCCTGGCCTCAAGTAATCCTGCCTCAGCCTCCTGAAGTGCTGGGATTATAGACATGAGACTGTGCCTAGCCAAAAAAAGCCACTTCTTTTTTTCTTCTTTTTTTGTTTTTTGTTTTGTTTTGTTTTCTTGAGACACAGTCTCACTCTTTCATGCAGGCCTGAGTGCAGTGGCATGATCATTGCTCGCTGCAGCCTTAATCTCCTGGGCTCAAGTGATCCTCTCACCTCAGCTTCTGAAGAAGCTAGAATTACTTGGCCATCACATCTAGCTGATTTTTTTTATTTTTTGTAGAGACAGGGTCTCCCTATGTTGCCCAGGCTGGTCTTAAACTCTTGGGCTCAAGCAATCCTCCTGCCTTGGCCTCCCCAAGTGCTAGGATTACAGGCATGAGTCACCACGAGGTCACTTCTGATGACAGGGGAGGTGGCACAGAAAGGTAGGTCTGCATGAACAGGGTTTGACTGAGTGGAGGGGAGCTGGTATGACTAGAAGCCAGGCCTGCTAGAGGGAGCAGTGAAGGTTTTAGAGCAGGAAAGGGGCCCCAAAGGCCAGGCAGTCCTTCCACTGGGACTGGGTACATTTCCTGAGTGCTTGTTTAGCAAAAGCACTTTGCAGCTCAGAGCCTTGGCTTTTGAGCCTCTCCTGATCCCACTCTCTATTTTCAGCTTAGCACTTCCCGGTCAAAGGTATGAATTGTGCTTCCTCAACTGGCTTGGAATTTCTCAGAGTAGGGGTCCTTTTCCCCGTGTAGTTCTCCACAGAGGAAAGCAATTCCCAATAAAGCTATGCTTTTCCTTTGTCCTGGGCCCTCTAAGGGAAGGCCCTAAGCTCAAAGTAGATCCCAGAGTTAGTTCCCAGGCTTCCAAGTCCCCTGTGACCCCAGGGAGCTGATGGGGTTCCTCATACATACGCCAAATGTGTATTGAACACCCAGTGTACTGACCTTCGGGGAGGTAAAAGGCAGAAGTGCTGATCACATGAGGCTTGTCATTTAGTTTCTCCCTTCTTTCCTGTGTCAAGCCTGGGCTCCCAAGATGAGTGTGAGGCCAGCTTTATTCCAGGCTATATTATTTCCAGTTCCCTTTCCTTCTCCCCTTTCAGGAGAAACCCACTGTTTTTAGAAGAGAAAAATATCCAGGCCCGGTGACTCACACCTGTAATCCCCGCACTGTGGGAGGCCAAGGTGAGCAGATAGCTTGAAGTCAGGAGTTCGAGACCTGCCTGGCCAAAATGCTGAAACGCTGTCTCTACTAAAAATACAAAAATTAGCCAGGCATGGTGGGAAGCTCCTATAAACTCAGCTACTCAGGAGGCTGAGGCAGGAGAATCACTTGAACCCAGGAAGCGGAGGTTGCAGTGAGCTGAGATCGTGCTATTGCACTCCAGTCTGGGCGACAGAGTGAAACTGTCTCGAAAAAAGAGAAAACCTCCTTAAGAAGGTCTGAGTATATTCTGAAACTATTCTCTCTGCCTGCATTGGTACCTGTAATGCCAAACCACTGTCACCTTTTTTTTTTTTTTTTTTTTTTTGAGATGGAGTTTCGCTCTTTATGCCCAGGCTGGAGTGCAATGGCGTGATCTTGGCAACCTCTGTCTCCTGGGTTCAAGCGATTTTCCTGTCTCAGCCTCCCGAGTAGCTAAGGTCTGTATGAACAGGGTTTCGCATTACAGGCATGCACCACCATGCTCGGCTAATTTTTGTATTTTTTAGTAGAGATGGGGTTTCTTCATGTTGGTCAGGCTGGTCTCGAACTCTTGACCTCAGGTGATCCGCCCACCTCAGCCTCCTAAAGTGCTAGGATTACAGGTGTGAGCCACCATGTCTAGGCCACTGTCACCTCTTTGCCTGAATGATTGCAACAGGTTTCCAAGTGGCCCCTGCTCCCCTTCTTCTCTTCTTACCTACCTCCATTCCCCATTCACCAATCAGAGTACTCTTTAAAAACATACATCTCAACCCAGGTGCGGTGGCTCATGCCTGTAATCCCAGCACTTTGGGAGGCTGAGGTGGGCAGATTAATTGAGCTCAGGAGTCTGAAACCAGCCTGGGCAAGATAGTGAGACTTCATCAATACAAAAAATAAAAAAAACTTAGCAGGGTGTGGTGGAATGTGCCTGTAGTCCCAGTTAATTGGGAGGCTGAAGCAAGAGGATCCCTTGAGCCTAGGAGGTTGAGGCTGCAGTGAGCTGTGATCATGCCACTGTATTCCAGCCTGGGTGACAGATCAAGACTCTGTCTCAAAAAAGAAAAAAAAAAAAAAATGGAGCCGGCACGGTGGCTCACATCTGTAATCCCAGCATTTTGGGAGGCCGGGGTGGGCCAATCATAAGGTCAGGAGTTCGAGACCAGCCTGGCCAATATGGTGAAACCCATCTCTATAAAAAATGCAAAAATTAGCTGGTGGGGGTGGTGCGCGCCTGTAGTCCCAGCTAATTGGGAGGCTGAGGCGGGAGAATGGCTTGAACCTGGGAGGCGGAGGTTGTAGTGAGCCGAGATTGTGCCACTGCACTCCAGAAAAAAAATTATCTGACCATGGGTGGATACTCATATTTAAGGCCTCTCACAGTACACGGGATAGAAACCAACTCCTTCCCTTTGTATAGGACCCTCCATGGTCAGTCCCTTGCCTCCCTCCCACCCACACAGACAGCCTCATGGTCTTTGTCAGTGCTGCTTCCTCGGCTTGAAACGCTCTCCTCCAGCCTTCCCAGCTGTTCCTTCCCATCTTCCAGGTCCCAGCATTGTCTTTGGAGCCACTAGCCCACCTGGGACAGGAGCCTGGCTCTGCTCCTAGCTGGCCATGTGACCTTGGGCAAGCCACTGGCTTCCTCTTTGCTTCTTTTTCCTGCAAAATAAGGGCATTAATGCTAACGTATCTCAGAAGGTGGTTTCAAGGATCAAAGAAAACAAAGCATTCGAGAGGGGTCTGGTGCTTAGTAGGGCCATTTTTTCGGTTTAGTTTCCTTGACCTCTCACAGAAAAGTAGGTCCCCACAGTCACTTTCCTATCACCCAGTTTTCTTCACAGAGCTTAGCACACGTTTTCTTAAGCTTAGCGCCTGCAGTGCCTGAAATAATCTTGGTTACCAACTATTTTATTAAATCAATATTTATTATGCACCTACTATGTGCCAGGCACTGGTTATAACTGCCATGTGATTGGACGCTCCAAAAAAGCGGCGGCCAAGCCTGTGCCGCTCACTTGTGTTCCTCCACACCCCCCACAGCACGGTGGGAAGCACACAGTAGGTGCTCGGCTCTGCTCCTGGCCCCGCCCCGCGGCCCCTCCCCCGCTCCAGGAAGTGCGGGGGCTCTAGCCACCCGGGCGGCCGCGATGCATTCTGGGGAAGGAGCACCACCAAATCCAAGATGGCGGCCAGCAGGAGGCTGATGAAGGTAAAAGCCATTCTCCGGCGGCGGTCCGGCTTGGGGCGGCGTCCTAGGCCCGGACCCCTGAGGCAGGCGGGGGTTTCTCAGGGCGCTGCCCTCTGGCCTCCTGCCCTACATGGCCTCGTCGGTCCTCAGGGCCGCGCGCCGGCTCAGGGAGCTAACGGGGCTGGCCTAGGCCGCAGCCTGGGCGGGAGTGCCAGGCCGCGTAGGGAGCCACTGCCAGCCCCTTTTCCCGGCCCGGGGCGTTCACGCCAACCTTCGCCCGGAGCGTGGCCGTGTCCCCCTGTCGCGGAGGCCGCAGCCCGACCCGAGGGCGTAATTAATGTGAGAGCGCGGTTGGGAGGCCCCAAACCGGGCTCTTTCGGGGAAGGCCCGAGCGTCGGAGCCCTTGCCCGGAGCTCGCGCCGCGGAACCGCCCCGCCCTGGGCCGCAGCGTTCCGGGCTTGCTGCTCCTCTTGGCCCGGCTGCAGCTCGGGAATCTGGGAGGCTCGGGCTACGAAAGGGAGGGGGAGACCAGGCGGCCAAAGTTAGGTCAGTTTGTTGGTGGGTCGTTTGAAATTGCGCTGGGTCCTAGCAGACTGTCGCCTTGTGACTGCAGAGTCACACAGCGGGCAAGTTCCAACTCCTAGAAGGCGTGGGGTCGGCCCCAAACGCGGCGCGGTTTTCCCTCCCTCCCCTCCACTCAGTCATCCGGATCTCCTTTCCCTGATGAGGCTAAATGCCATTTTTTTTTGGTGGGGGGGAGGGTAACGGTTGGTTTCTGTCGTTCGAATCAAAACGGGCCAAAGTTTATAATAGTAACTTAATACTTTGGATCTTGAATGCAGCGGGTTTCCTTCTCGCTAATTGCCTCATTTTGTGAGGAACACATGCTAAATTGGCTTAGTTCTTTTGCCAGTGGATTTGCCAACGTCCTCTGGAGCCCACCCTGCCAGCATCTCTTGAGTCGGCAGCCGGGTAGTGCTGCCGGTCTGCAACGGGCCGGAAATTAAAAAAAGGCCCAGGAGCCGGTTTCCTGAGGGGAAGGTAAAGAGCTGGGGTTCGCTCTGGGCAGAGCAGTGCTTGGTAGAGCTGGACATTGAACTTGGAGTCACAGTCTCTGAGCCTTCGCTCCCTCTCTCCCTGGGAATGTTTCCTTTCTTTTGTTCCCTAAGAGCTAGAGAGGACATTAACTTTGTAAAACTGGAGTGGAAGTGGGCATAAAAGAAGAGTCAGCGGACTTCAGACCTCTCCTCATCTCTTCAGCTAGTGACACCACCGTTCACCAGATGAGGGGTTTGTTAATAGCTTGCTTAACCCTACTCCCAGATGCAGCCGTCCATTAACTCTTGTGGATTTGAATTTAGAAAGATTTCTAGAGTGCAGGCCAGGCGCGGGCCACGCTGGTAATCCCAGCACTCTGGGAGGCCGAGGTGGGTGGATCACTTGAGGTCAGGAGTTCAAGACCAGCCTGGCCAACATGGTGAAACCCTGTCTCTACTAAAAATATAAAATTTAGCTGGGCGTGGTCGCATGTGCCTGTAATCCCAGCTACCCGGGAGGCTGAGGTAGGAGAATCGCTTGGACCTGGCAAGTGGAGGTTGCAGTGAGCCAAGGATCGCCCCACTGCACTCCAGCCAGGGCGACAGAGTGAGACTCCATCTGTAAAAAAAGGTAGATTTCTGGAGTGCATGCCTTGCTTTCTAATGTTACTGAAATTACTCTGAAACTGTATCCTGTTCTTGCAGGTGCCCTCCTGAGTGGTCTCCTCCCCAGACAACCCCTCGTGGACACCAGAGTTCAATTCTTTCACTCCAGTTAAAAACCTCTATGGTCTTATTGTCCTCAGCAGTTAATCCTAACCTCTTACTTGGCATGCAGGACCTTTCTGAGACTGGCTGAAAGCAATCTGTTTAGCCTCATGGCCTCCTGCCTTTTGGTTTCCCACCATTCTTGCACCTAATCACAGTAGCTACTGTTTTTCCAGCTTTTACTTCGTGCTTCATATGCATGATCGTGTTTAATCCTTCCTGTGGAGTAGACATTGTGATTTCCATTTTGTCAATGAGAAACGATTCCTTTGCTTGTCCCTAGCTAGGGAGAGTGAGCTATGATCGAACTCAGTTCTTTCTCTAAAGCAGTCTTCTGTTCTTACTTGCTGTCTGGTGTCCCTTTTGCACGTGTCCTTTGCTCTACCCAAGAAAGGCTGCCTTCTCCTCACTTCTCCCTTCCAGAGAAGTCCCCCGTTCAACTTCAATGCCAACTACTCTGTGAGCCCCCTGCTCCCACATCCCCCTTCAGAATGAGTTGTTTCCTCCTTTGTGTGACCACAGTACTTTCTTTATGTTGCTCTTTGAGCACTTGTCACAATCTGTTTGTGTTACAGACTTGTCTTTCCTATACTGTGTTCTGAGATCCTGAAGGGCAGGGATCTTGACCTAATTCATCCTGGTATCCCCCTAGCCTATCCCGTAGTTGGAATTCCCAGGTTCTCAGGGGTCTAAGAGGGGACTTACGATATTAAAAATATTATTGTGTTTCTAAAAAAAAAAAAAAAATAGAGCCTGGAAAAATTTTGTAACAGAGTATTTATTAAATATTAGCTTATTTACATAAATTACCTTTTCAACCTTCAAAGTTAGTGTATTGTCATTTTTATTTTTACAAATGGGGACACTGTGAGGTTAAATAGGTTAAAGGAGTTACCTAAGGTAGAGTTGTAGAAAGTGGTGGGGAGAGATACGATGCTGACTCTTCTTGGCTCCAAGACCCAAATTCCATGCCTCCTGTCAGGCTGTTTTCATTTCTTACTCCAAGGCTGCATGGAGCCCTGTGTTGTTTCTTGAGGATGGAAAGCCTTTCAGTTCACTAGGGGAACACCAGTTGTGTGATCCTAATCATTGGCTGTGAGAGTCAACGTTTAAGCCTGGTTAGTTTTTTTTTTTTTTTTTTTAAAGGAAGAAAAATTATTGATCAGGTTGATGAACAAAGTCTTTCAGTACATGGGATGGAAATAAAGTTATTGTCGGTGGTGAAAAATTGGGACTTAGTCGGTGGAACAGTGCCTTAGGCATAGCAAGCAAGCAAACGTTGAATGATCAAATTAATTACATTTTTTTTTTTTTTTGAGACGGAGTTTCACTCTTGTTACCCAGGCTGGAGTGCAATGGCGCGATCTCAGCTCACCGCAACCTCTGCCTCCTGGGTTCAGGCAATTCTCCTGCCCCAGCCTCCTGAGTAGCGGGGATTACAGGCACGCGCCACCATGCCCAGCTAATGTTTTGTATTTTTAGTAGAGACGGGGTTTCACCACGTTGACCAGGATGGTCTTGATCTCTTGACCTCGTGATCCACCTGCCTCAGCCTCCCAAAGTGCTGGGATTACAGGCTTGAGCCACCGTGCCCGGCAATTACATCTTAAAGAACTTTAGATTTCTGTTAAAAATCTTTTCTGGGACATTCCACAGCAAAGATTTTTTAACAATGGACTGTCTGCAGATAGTGTAAAATGCATTATTAAAAGTAGAGTGGTTTGCATATTATACGCTGAGAAGTTATTTTAGGCAAAGTGAGCATGATAAAGTCATTGATTTTAAAAGCACTTGTCAAGACTATTAACCTTTTTTAGAACCCTTTTTAGGATTTACAATGTTAATAAAACATTAAGTACATTTTAATTTGCAGGCAGCTAATTTAGCATTGTTGGCAACAACCAGATTGTAACCATTGCTTCAATCAGGATGGGGAAATTGCTACAAAAGCCAAAAGTGAAACCTTTATATGTGGCTTAGGCAACTGATTGCCATCTGATCATTTCTTTGCAGCTTCATGTTGCGCACACCTCCCCCAAGTGCCCTCCTGTTGAGTAGCTTCCCAGAAGGGCTTTTCTCAGAGGGGAAATCTGTTCATTTAGAGGTGTGTATGTAACGTTTTATTACTTACCATGACATAAATGTTGAGTTAAGAAGTTTTTGCTCTTGTTGCGCAGGCTGGAGTGCAATGGTGTGATTTCTGCTCACTGCAACCTCCACCTCCCAGGTTCAAGTGATTCTCCTGCCTCAGGCTCCCAAGTAGCTGGGACTATAGGTGTGCACCACCACTCCTGGCTAATTTTGTATCTTTAGTAGAGATGGGGTTTTACCATGTTGGCCAGGCTGGTCTCAAACTCCTGACCTCAGGCGATCTGCCCGCTGAGGCCTCCCAAAGTGTTGGGATTACAGGTGTGAGCCACCGAGCCTGGCCTAATGCTATTTTAAAATGTTCTCTCAGAACTTCATATTGTTATACTTTCTCCTAGTCCATAGTCATAGGAGGAGGAGCCTCTAAAAGTTCATTCTTTGGGTTTCATTGTATTAAACGATGAGGTAGTTTGCTTTTAAGTATAGGTTTAGATTCTGAGGTTGGGTAATTAAGAAGATACTGCAGTGATACTATACTCCATGTGTCACATGTATCAGGAAGTGAGGGGAGTTTTATATATGATGTTATGCCAGTGTGAATGTCCTGAATCCACTGAGGTTTTGTGAATTGAGAAAAACGTTGCATCTTTTATCCTGAATTTATGTATTCTAGTAAGTTGGGACTGTTTCAGCCTCCTTTAATGATATTTTTTGTAAATGTTTGGGGCAGGTGATAGGAAGGAGTATACTCAATTATTGCAACATTTGGGACCTTTTAAGATATTTACTAGAAAACCCTGAGACAGGCCAGGCACAGTGGCTCACACCTGTAATCCCAGCACTTTGGGAGGCCGGGGTGGGTGGAATGAGGTCAGGAGTTCAAGACCAGCCTGGCCAATATGGTGAAACCCCGTCTCTACTAAAAAAAAAAATACAAAAAATTATCTGGGCATGGTGGCATGTACCAGTAGTCCTAGCTGCTCGGGAGGCTGAGGCAGGAGAGTTACTTGATCCCGGGAGGCACAGGTTGCAGTGAGCCGAGATCGCACCACTGCACTCCAGCCTGGGAGACAGAGCAAGACTCCGTCTCAGAAAAAAAAATAATTAACCGGGCGTGGTGGCAGTTGC